TGGGAATCATTGTGTTTTTGTTACGGCACCTTATGTGGAGCCTGCCATGTCTCTACAGTAGCCCAGAACGGACAAACCAAACACTGGTCTTTCACATTATTTTTTTTTTTGCAGCCACCGTAGTTTTCCTACACACGTCACAGCTTGTTCTCATTTCTAGGCTCTCAGATACAGACGCGTGTGGTGTTCAGGTAGTTGCAACTTAACTGCTAGATGCCACTAAATCCTACACACAGGTCCTTAAGGCAAACAATTTGATTGTCTCACATGACAAACCACACAACAACAAACCTTTTGTTCTTAGGCGTCCCCTGTTTAAGACAACAACACTGCCTGCTTTGTTTTCTGACGTATCGGAAGGAATAGTAGCAGTAGTAAGAGTAGCAGTAAGTGTATAGGAGAGGGATGAGAAAGAGTAACAAGTTGTTTTAATACTATTATTAATGGTGAAAGCTATAATTAGAATAATAAGTCATTAGAATTTATGCAGAAATAGTGTGGAGGCCTTTCCCCCCTCCTGTGATTTAAAAAGAAAAACTTCACAGCAGTGTGAGTCATGTGTACTGACCTAACTTATCTTGTCAACTTAAGTTGATAATTAAAGAAAAGTTAAATGAGAATTCAATATTGTCTCAACCTATTCGCTCTTGAAAAAAAAACAAAACCTCTGGCTTACAGTTTTCCTCAGTGGAACTCAGCCTGTTATTAGCGTACTTTTTGAGACTGCTGCATTACCTGACATAATAAAATAATGTGTTACAGAGTTTCGAGCCAATAATGTGAAAGTTGTGTCTTAGCACGGTGAGCCACAGCCATCAGGTGTACAGTCGCAGTCTTGTTAAATCCATTTCCACCGAGCCGGGCTGCCTTATCGAAACTATTCATCACAGCGAGCAAGGCACAGGTGTGTGATGTAATGGCGGCAATGATGCAGAACAATTCAGGCGTCACTTCCTAAATTGGCAGAATCTTCTTCTTCTCCTTTTTTTTTTTTAGTTTTTTGCTACATCTCAACACATCACCAGCTCACTTCATAATGACTTGGAAGGTGTAGGCAGGATTTAATTGGAGACAGGTTTCTGGCAGCTTTTCTTAAACTTTGCGGGGTGTGTTGTGTGTCCCTGCAGAGTTCAGGTGATTGTGTGTGCTGCCATTTTTTCGGAAATTGCTTAGTGAGTGGCATTACAGAGGTAAACAGCATTTCTGTGCATTCGCTTAGCCTCATTTTGACAGCACTTTGACTTTGCAAAGTTGCTCTTTTTTCTTCTTTGCTGCATATTAAATCTTTATAAAGATGCACTGACAGATATTGAAAGGCGAGGAGGAAGACATGTAATTGCCAGGCTTTTTCTTGTTTCGCTGACGTTCTGGTTTTTGTCAGGAGCTTAACTTTGTGCTTGTTTGTCATAAAAAATGAGGCCTTTAGTACGTTTGGAGGATTGTGTGTTTGAGTAACGAGCTGAAACTATCATGGAAGGGCCCTTCTGTTTGTTGTGTCTACACACAAGGACAGACAAGCATGTAGTGTACACCCACATCCAGGGGGTCATCAAAGTTTTATCTAATTTTAAGGAACACACACACAAAAACCATTTACACATTCACACACTTAACCAGATAGACCACACAAGGCAGAGAGAGGGTAATCTACATGGCACATATTGTTTGACTTTTCAGAGCCCCCGTCTTACTATCCCTCTTTTGCATCTTCTCTCTTTTTCACACACACACACACACACACACACACACTCACAGTGGTTTTTGGCTTCCGGGGGTGCCTAGGAAGTTGGGCTGAATCTCATCTGCTGGGATGGGCTGATAAATTTATTGTGGCGAGGGGAAAACAACTGCGAGGATTGTGTGTGTGTCTGTGTGTGTGAGAGGTCGTTTGTGTGTGTCAGAGAGACAGAAGGAGGACATGGAAGAGACTAAATCATGGTATGTGTCTGTGTGTGAGAGGAAAGAGGAGAATAATACCCTCAAACCTCAGCCACTCACCATTTCCTCAATTCAATACCCAAAGCTGGCTTGATAGCTAGCCACACACACACACACAC